CGCCCATGCACTGCTGGGAGCCCAATGGCAGGCATGGCACAGCTGGCCTGGCTCCTGTGTCACCTGGACCAAACGGAAGGTGACAGCAGACACTTGGAGGCACGAGGGGTCTCCTGTGGCCTGGGGCACACAAGACTGGGAGCTCAGGGGACAGAAGTCAGGGACAGGAGCCCAGGTACAGACGGAGACCCTTCCTACAAGACCCCCAGCAGCACCAGGGGCCTGGGGCTGGCTTGCCAGGCACAGGAGGATTTCGGGGCCAACCCCAGAGCTGGTCCCACAGCCTCAGCGATGCCGAGTCGGTTGTGGGTGTGTAGACAGCAGCGGCCGCGAGGCGGCAGTGCAGACCCACACGCCACTACCCGAGGCGGCTGAGGCCAAGTCCACCGGCACAACGTCCCGGGTCCACCCGGGTCCGGTACCGCAGTGGTCCACGAGGGTCGTCAGGAGACCGGGCGCTAGTCCGAGCCACCCCACCTCAGACAGCCACCCCATCTGAGGCACCCCCGGCCACCACACGGTTGAAGTTGGGGAGATGGGAGGGAATAATTGGGGGTGATGAGGGACTCCCTGTGCCTGGGATGACCCCAGAGTCGGCTTCGGAGGGAGACCCCACACGGCCTCCCGCAGTGCAGGGTCCTGGGGGCTGCCTTGCCGAGTGCAGGAGGATTTCTGGGTCTTCCCCCTTGGTCTTGGGCCGACCCCGCCCACCCAGCGCACCCCCTGTATGATGCCAAGTCAGTTGTGGGTGTGGAGAGAGCAGCGGCCGCGAGGCGGCAGTGCAGACCCACACATGACCGCCCGAAGCCACGCGGTCTCGGGTCTACCCCACAGCGTCCCGGGTCCGCTCGGGTCTGGTACTGCAGTGGTCCACGTGGGTCATCAGGGAGATGAGGTGCTTGTCTGAGCCACCCCAGGAGCATGTCGGGCCACATGGCAGCCCCACAGCCACGGATCCCCTTCTGAGGCTGTCAGCGTGGTGCTGTGGGACCCACATCAAGTCTCCAGACACGATGACGGTCATGAGTGCCGCCAAGCCTGGGACTTTGTGCACCCAGCCCAGAGCACTGACCCCACCAAGGACAGCTGCCCCAAACTGGGCCCTTAATTAAGCCAGTAACTGCCTCCGAGGGGAACACTCAGAGTTCCTCAGATCCTAAGCGGCAGGCATTAACATTTCCATTCAATTCAGGTGTTTGAGATGCTAAAGCTCTGGGCGCGCCGCCTCTCGGTCCTGCTACAGGTGGTCCTGCTGGTTGTCTGAGCGCAGCCACCGCTGTGGGGTGCTGCAGACACCGCAGTGTCCTGGGGGATTGTGAAAGGGTGGGGATCCCGACAGGGTGAGCGTGCTGTGTGACTGGGGTCCAGCTCCCCGCACTGTGCTCTGGGCTCATCACGAGCGCGTGGAGGGGCATCTCCCACCCAGAGCGCCCTGGGTCTGCCCTGGAGCCCATGCACTGCTGGGAGTGGAATCCCAGCCGCGCCCCAGGACCACGGCCCGTTTCCCCAATGCCAGGGAAACGAGACGGGATACTTGGGAACTGAGGGGTCCCGCGTCTTGGGGTGTGGAGGACGTGATGGGGAGCCTGGGTGATGGAAAGCCAAGCTTGAGAGGAAACCCATCACACGAGACCTCCAGCAGCACAAGGTCCTGGGGCTGACTTGCTGGGCACAGGAGGATTTCGGGGCCCTCGTCCTTGCATGGGGTGCGAACCCCCGAGCTTGTCCCACTGCCTCAGCGGTGCCAAGTAGGTTGTGGGTGTGTAGACAGCAGCGGCCGCGAGGCGGCAGTGCAGACCCACACGCCACCGCCCCAGGCGGCTGAGGCCAGGTCCGCCGATGCGACCGCCTGGGTCCGGTACCGCAGTGGTCCACGAGGGTTGTCAGGGAGACCGGGTACTAATCTGAGCCACCCCACCTCAGACGGCCACCCCATCTGAGGCACCCCCGGTTGCCACATGGTTGAAGTTGGGGAGATGGGAGGGAATAATTGGGGGTGATGAGGGACTCCCTGTGCCTGGGATGACCCCAGAGTCGGCTTCGGAGGGAGACCCTTCCCACACGGCCTCCTGCAGTGCAGGGTCCTGGGGGCTGCCTTGCCGAGTGCAGGAGGATTTCTGGGTCTTCCCCCTTGGTCTTGGGCCGACCCCGCCCACCCAGCGCACCCCCTGTATGATGCCAAGTCAGTTGTGGGTGTGGAGAGAGCAGCGGCCGCGAGGCGGCAGTGCAGACCCACACATGACCGCCCGAAGCCACGCGGTCTCGGGTCTACCCCACAGCGTCCCGGGTCCGCTCGGGTCTGGTACCGCAGTGGTCCACGTGGGTCATCAGGGAGATGAGGTGCTTGTCTGAGCCACCCCAGGAGCATGTCGGGCCACATGGCAGCCCCACAGCCACGGATCCCCTTCTGAGGCTGTCAGCGTGGTGCTGTGGGACCCACATCAAGTCTCCAGACACGATGACGGTCATGAGTGCCACCAAAACCTGGGACTTCGTGCACCCAGCCCAGAGCACTGACCCCACCAAGGACAGCTGCCCCAAACTGGGCCCTTAATTAAGCCAGTAACTGCCTCCAAGGGGAACACTCAGAGTTCCTCAGATCCTAAGCGGCAGGCATTAACATTTCCATTCAATTCAGGTGTTTGAGATGCTAAAGCTCTGGGCGCGCCGCCTCTCGGTCCTGCTACAGGTGGTCCTGCTGGTTGTCTGAGCGCAGCCACCGATGTGGGGTGCTGCAGACACCGCAGTGTCCTGGGGGATTGTGAAAGGGTGGGGATCCCGACAGGGCGAGCGTGCTGTGTGACTGGGGTCCAGCCCCCCGCACTGTGCTCTGGGCTCATCACGAGCGCGTGGAGGGGCATCTCCCACCCAGAGCGCCCTGGGTCTGCCCTGGAGCCCATGCACTGCTGGGAGTGGAATCCCAGCCGCGCCCCAGGACCACGGCCCGTTTCCCCAATGCCAGGGAAACGAGACGGGATACTTGGGAACTGAGGGGTCCCGCGTCTTGGGGTGTGGAGGACGTGATGGGGAGCCTGGGTGATGGAGAGCCAAGCTTGAGAGGAAACCCATCACACGAGACCTCCAGCAGCACACGGTCCTGGGGCTGACTTGCTGGGCACGGGAGGATTTCGGGGCCCTCCTCCTTGCATGGGGTGCGAACCCCCGAGCTTGTCCCACTGCCTCAGCGGTGCCAAGTCAGTTGTGGGTGTGTAGACAGCAGCGGCCGCGAGGCGGCAGTGCAGACCCACACGCCACCGCCCCAGGCGGCTGAGGCCAAGTCCGCCCGCACAATGTCCTGGGTCCGCCCGGGTCCGGTACCGCAGTGGTCCACGAGGGTCGTCAGGAAGACCGGGCGCTAGTTCGAACCACCCCACCTCAGACGGCCACCCCATCTGAGGCACCCCCCGGTCGCCACACGGCTGAAGTTGGGGAGATGGGAGGGAATACTTGGGGGCGATGAGGGACCCCCCCGTGCCTGGGATGACCCAGAGTCGGCTTCGGAGGGAGACCCTTCCCACACGGCCTCCCGCAGCGCAGGGTCCTGGGGGCTGCATTGACGAGTGCAGGAAGATTTCTGGAGTCTTCTTTCTTTGTCTTGGGCGGACCGCCTGTGTGGCGCCGTCAGTTGTGGGTGTGGAGACAGCGGTGTCCGCGAGGTGGCAGTGCCAACTCAGGCTTCTCCGTCCGCAGGAGGCTAAAGTCGGGGTCTGCTTAGGGCCAACTGCGGGGGTCTGCCCCATCCTAACTTGAGGGTCCACCTAAGGCAAGGTCTTGGGTTGCCCCACAGTCAATCTGGAAGTTCATCCATGACAAAGGCTGGGGTGTCGGGTTTGGCAGGTGGGCACCCAGCACTTCATGGTAGGGTCCATGGGAACAGAGGGTCTGCCCCGAGGTCCCCCCCAAGTGCAGTGAAGCCTGGTGAGCTCCAGGTCCCTTGCCTAGGTGCGTCCCCCCATGGTGCCAACACCCGAGATTTGGAGAGTGAACCCTGTGGACTGCAGGGCCCCAACACCCACCATAAGATGAAAGTTGTCACCAGAGGGACAGGATGGCCAAGGGTGGCTGGGGGGACTTGAGGCTCATGTCTTTGTTCTGTTCCTGAATCGGCGGCACCCCAGGCGGGCGGGTGTGTGGGCTGGCGGGGACAGAGCTATGAAGCTGCCTGGCTCAACGCCAGGGTGCGCCTGCGAGCGCAGAGCACAAAGGGTGAGAGCTGCGTCCAGAGAGGGGAACACAGAGGCGAGGGGACCCGCGGCGCCCCAACCACAATGGCAAACGGCCCCGTAGAAGCCACTGTGGCTGCAGCAGTCACCATCAACCAGACGCCTGCCCACTCTGGCCCACTGAGACCCCTGGGTGCTTCCCTCGGCCCCACCTGAGCCCTGACACCCCCCACCCACACACCCCATGCGACTGCTCCCCGTGGACTCCCGGACCCTAGGGGCATGGGTGGTCTCAGCCACGCTGGTGGCAGAAAGTGGCTAAGTCCCGCCTGAGCCCCCGGGGGCCCCAGTCAGGATCCCCACTCTGGGCTGAGTGCATGCCCAGTGCTGGCTGTATGGGGAGCAGGAAGCGTGATCTGTGCTGAGGGGACCCGACTGTCTTGACCTGGGGGGAGGGGGAACATTTGGGACGATGCCAGGCCCTGACTATGGGATGCCAAAGGAGGGGAAGGGAGAAGGCCGTCTTTGGAGAATTCTGGACGGGGGGTTGAGGAAGTGTGCTGGACCTTCCCAGTTGGAGGTGGGCCTTGCAGTGTCCCCCCACCCCCAGCACGGTCCCAGCTCCCATTGGCTGGCAGAATAGGGCGGGAATTCTGGGCGGGGCCACCCCAGTTAGAAAAAGCCCGGGTTAGGGCCGGGAGCAGGGAGCGGGTGGGGGGAGGTGGGGAGATGGGGGGGTCTGGGGGAAACTGGGGAGGCGGGGGAGCCGAGGGGTAACCAGGGAAGCGTGGGGTACGGGGGCAACCAGGGGAAGATGGGGCTGGGGTACAGGGAAGCTTGCATGGGCCAAGGATCACCTTGGAAACCCGGAGTCTGGCAGGAGCGACGAGGGGCTGAGGGGCTGGCTTGGGCAGGGTTGGCAGGCACCTGGGAGCGTGGCGGGAGTGTGGCGTGGGCTCCCAGGTGTCCGGGAGGAAGGGTGACATCGGCATGGGTGTGACGGGCCAAGCTGGGTGTGCAGAGGAAAGAAGGGGGAGCCAGACATTCATCCCGGTCAATTTTGGTTTTCAGGACGTGGCGGCTGGTGGACGAGGGGGAGCTGGAGAGGGGTTCGCCCCCGGGCCTGGGGCAGTGGAGGTGTAGCTGCAACCGTGGGCAGGTGAGTCCTCTTCTCCTCTCTGGGCCTTGCTTCGCTGGCCTTCTGCAAGAAGGAGGTTTGGGGAGCAAGGACTGGTGAGGAGAAGCGGCTGACCTCCCGACAGAAGGGCGGGAAGAAGGCAGGGTGGTTAGAACAGGTGACATCGTCTCGGGGGGAGCTGAGACTGAGCAGGCTGGGGGGGCTGTGGGCCCGTCCCAGGTGGAAAGAGCATTTCAGGAGGGCAGGACGGAAGATGAGGTGGGGCTGCCAGCAAGGGAGGTGCAAAGGCCACCACCTCCAGGGAGGTGACAGGTGGCCGCAGGGATCCAGCACGTGTGGGGCGTTCCAGGCCCGGGTCGGACAGGACGAGAAGGGGGATTCAGGATACAAAGGGTCCCCAGCCGCTACCACATCTCACCCACCGCAATTCATTTAGTAGCAGGTACAGGAGCGGCTCTGGCACGGGCCTCCCAGGCCCGTGCCAGAGCCTTGAGGGCCGGAGAGCGGGAAAGAAGGTGCAGTGCGCGGGGAACCCGCGGCAGGACGTCACCCGGAGGGAGTTGCGGCCGCAGGTACAGGGCTCCGGAGTGATTTCGGCAGCAAGGAGGCTGCTGGGGGCCCAGCCTGCGGACGCGCCGTTCCCACGCGGCACTGCGGCCCAGGGGCTGGCGCGGAGAGGGCCCACAGTGCACTCAGTGACACTGTATGCCTTCACCGCTCAGCCCCTGGGACTGGCACGGCAGACAGGACAGCACCCAGGGGGGTCAAGGGCGCTGGCGAGACCAGACTAGGCAAGACGGGCGGGGTGGAGTGAGTGCGATTTCTGGGGGGAGGAGGTTGGGGCGCAGGCAGGGGTGAGGAGCGAGCGGGGCCTGGACTCCGGAGCCCGCGGCCAAGGCGGGCCTGTGCGGGCGGCGATGGAGCAGTGATCGGTGCCTCTGCGCTCGGACTGGAGGCGAGGGTGAGTGTCCAGCCCACCAGCCCTCCTGACCCCCACTTGCTGCCTCTGCCCGCTCAGCCAACGCCTGTCCATTTTCTCCACAGCCAGGTCTCCAGTGGGGGTGGACGTGCCCGCCAGCCACCGAAGGCGGGTGCCAGGATGTGCTCAGAAAGACATGACATGGTCCGGTGTGACGGTGAGGATGGACGTGACGGTATCCAGCCTTCCTGGTAAGTGCAGGTACAGGGCGTGGCCCCCCCAGGCCACCCAGTGCACCTGGCCTCACTCATGACCAGTCTTTCTCCCGTAGAACATCTTTGGCTGGCCCCGGGGGCGCTGCGACACCCGGCAGGTCTCTGTTCCTTTACTTTCCTGAAGGAGTCAACACACTACTGCTGCTCTCTGGACCCCAAGAACCCTCAAGATGACAAGGTGAGACGCCCCCCCTGCTGCACACGGGGTGGTGGGCACGGGGCCAAGGAGCTGGGGCGCTCACTCTCTCCCGACCCACAGAAATGGTGCTACCCAGCTCATGCCTGGGCCTTGGAACCCGGACTTCTTCAAGTCCCTCTAGCTCTGACTCAAGAATATGCTGCATTCTGGAACCACTACACTACTTGACTCAGGAATCAGCTCTGGAAGGTGAGCGTGGGCACCCCTTCCAGAAGCTTCCCCAACCCCGCCCGCCCTGCCCCTACTCACATGTCCTGTTGCCCCCTGCAGGTTAAGCTAAAGGAACCAGATGGACCTGCCGCCAACACCACCGGAAGTGAGCAGCGCCCACGGCTGCCCCACCCCCACCTGGGGACTCGTCTTCGTCTTCATGGCCACCCCTGCGGGGCTGGAGACCACCGCCAGCCCCCCACGCCCCTCACTACCATCTGCCTCCTCTCCCTGCTCTTCTTCATCCTTTCCTTTTGAATTTTCACTTCTTTTTCTTCTCTGTCCTTTGCTCAGGAGACTCAGAGCATCCGTGACTCTGTTTCCCCCGTCCCCCTGAATTCAATTTGCACTAAGTCATTTGCACTGGTTGGGGTTACGGACCCGCCTTGAGTCTCTGAGCGAGTATGCAAGAAAACTGCCGAGTGTGCTGGGCCTCCTTTGGCCTGTGCCGCGCCCTCGCCCCCCTGTCGTCCATCTCAATCTGGGGGTGACTGGGTGCGGCCGCGTGTGTGAGGCCCCGCCCTCCCCTTGCCTAGTCTGGAAGCTCCGACCATCTGGAGCAAACCTTGAAGCATTCCATTGTCCTTCTCGCTTTGCGCCCCCCCTCACCAGGGCTCCACCAGGAGTCCTGGACTCATCAATAAATACAGTTACAGCAATTTGTCTCTAGAATTGAGTTCTTTGCCTGGGGGGTGATCGGGGAGGGTGGGGGGACATGAAAAGGGCATATGGGACAGGGAAGGGACATGAGGGATAACAAGGGGCTATAGGATGGGGAGGACATATGGAGTGGGATAAGGCCCACATGGAGACCGGGAGGGGGACTGTGGGACCCCAGAGTCCTTGCAAGGAGAAGTGGGGGTGGGGGTGGGAGGTGGGGGGTGGGGGGAATGGCAAAGGGAGTCCTCAGCCATGAGAGCTCGGGCCATGAGAGCTCAGGCACCACAGAAGTCTCCCCAAAGTCTGTCCAGCCACCCAAAGTACTTCCTGGACAACACCCCTAGGCACCCCTGAGCCCTTGGCCCAGACCCAGGAGGCCTGGTGTGGGGGATCAGCCTGTGGAATCATCCTAGGGGGGCGGGCTTGAAATGCAGGAGCGACACGCAGCCCAGGCCAGGCAGCAGCGCTGGGGGCAGGGCCAGCCACACCACCGGGGACACTGGGGAGCCCATGGCCCCCCGCCACTGTCATCAACAGCCTTGCTATTGCAAAGCGCTCCCATGGGCCTCAAACTCAGGGGGACTAGAGACGTCCCCTTCCCACACACACTCTGCTGTGGTGAGAGCTGGGGGTACGCACAGAGGGCAGCAAGGAAGAGACGCAAGAGAGTCTACTCGGCTGCCGTGAGGGGCGTGGGGAGGGGTGCCCAGCAGGGGTGAGCTTCCCAATAGGCAGGTGAGAGTGGAGCAGAGGTGAAAGGGGGCAAGGGGGATAGAAAGGGGTGAGGCAGGAGGGGGATGGAGGTGGTGGGGGGCGAGGACCATGATGGGTGAAGAGGTGAGGGAGGCGGGGAAATGAGGAGATGGGGGGTGAAGGGGCTGAAGGGAGGACACAGGATGGAGGGGGGCAAGGGTACACAAGAGTGAGAAGGTGAGGGGAACCGGGGGGACGGGGGGCCCCATGGTCAGAGTCTTGCCGCTGAAGCCCCCAGGACCGTGTCCTACAGGCGCCTGGCCTTGGGTTTGCTCCCGAGTACAAGTGCAGTCCCCATGTGGGATCGTGGTTGGCGTCCCCATACAAGACAGCAGCCAAGTGGCCTCGGTGTCTCTGAACCCCCAGCCCCTGGCCCCCTAGCTCCTTGGAGACTGGCTGTGCAGATGCTGGGAACATGAGGGAGCAGCTCTTGGAAATAAGGCTGGGGTCCTGGCCCTTCCCAGTGCTCAGAGCAGCCAGGAAACGCAGGAAATGCCTGGCCTGCTGATGAAGACCAGAGAGCAGAGGCCTGGAGACTCGCCCCTGCGCCGGGGCCTTCCCCACGCCCCGGCCCGCGTGGACTCCCTGCCCTGACTCCGGGCCCGCAGCGCGACGCCGTCCCCACAGCCTCACCTCCTGTGGACTCCCCACTGTCCCCCTGTGTCTGGGCTCCCCTCTGGGTCCTCCACCCCTCCTGACAGTACAGAGGACATGGGACTTCCGGTGCTACAATGGGGACAGTCCTGGCTAGCCGGGTGGGTGGGCACCACAGCACGCAGTTGGGCTAAGGTGTTTTCCCAAGACTGGGCAGATGGCACCCCTGGGTCCCCTGAGAGCCTCCTGCCATCTCCTGGAGCTCCCACAGTCGGTGGGCAGCGCACATGGGCAGGCCGCATCCATCTCCAGGCCGCCGGCTGGTTTGACTCACCCAAGTGGGTTTTGCCGGTGGGATGAAGGAACCCATCCATTAGGTGTCAAGAGTCAGGTCTATAAACGGCCTTTATTATAAACATCCGTGTCTGCGGGAGCTTTGCAAAGCTGGGCCTCGGAAGATGAAAGGCCGGCTTCCCAGGGGGTGGCTGGATGGCCATGTGGGTACCGCAGGTGGCCGGAGGGGCTCTGAGGGCAGCCAGGGCGTGGGGGTGGAAGGAGGGAGAGAAGACTCTGGAGGCATCTTCTGGGGAGCACAGAAGACCCCGCCCACTTCCACAGGCATCAGGGCCCAATAAAGGGGGGGTAACCCTTCTTGGGACCCCCAAGCTCAGTGGGGCCAGGTCCTCGGGGTGCTGTGGCCTTCTCCTGGTCACCCCCACACTTTCAATCTGGGACTTCCAACCGGGGGCCGGAGGCCGATGGAAAGCAAGTTCGTCTGGTCTGGAATGCCGGTGTGTGGGGTTGGTCCTCTCCACACCCACCTAGGGGAGAACCACACAGAGTCCCTGGTGCCCCCACTCTGTCTCCCCAGGTCTGCCCGTGGACATACCTGCACCCCGGGCCCCTTGGAAGGCTCAGGGCAGGGTGTACGCTGGGGGTTCAGGGGCAGCGCCCCCAGGAGGGAGCCCGAGGGTCTGAGGGGCCCAGGACAGAGCAGGAGAGGTCGGGGGAGGCAAGCGGGGGCCAGAAGCCACAGGCCAGAGCCGGCTCTGCTGACAGGTCGCAAGCCCCGCGCCTCGCCCAGGCTGGGAGACAGAGGTGGCCCGGCCCCGCCCGCGGAGCCCCTCCATGGAGCTGGGGACCGCCAGGTTGGAATGTGTTTACCTTTGGCCCAACCCGATTTCCTGCTTTTTAGAAAAGAGGCTTAGAGAAGGTTGTTAGACAGGCTCCTGGCGCCCCCGCCCCCAGAGGCACTTTTCGAAGGCCCCTGTGCCGCTGAAGCATCCGGAAGCAGAAAGGGGCTTGAGTTTCACCCCCAGACCCGGCTGCGCCGGGTGGCGCGGGGGCAGAAGTCGAGGGGAGACCCCTGCTAGGCGCTCAGCACCAACCTGCAGGGTCTTCACACTGGGGCCATCCCACAGCCCTGCTTCTGCAGAGGGTGTGGGCTGAGCGATTTCCCACTCACTGAGTTTGGAGAAAACAGGACTTAGTGTGTGTGTGTGTGTCCACGTGCGTGTGTCCCTGTGCGTGTCCACATGTGTCCCTCTGTGTGTCCATGCGTGTGACCCTGTGTGTCCACTTGTGTGTCCATGTGTGTGTTCCTGAGTGTCCACATGTGTGTCCCTGTGTGCACACATCGCTCAGTGTGTCCCCGTGGACCTGCGAGGAGTGGGCCGGCCGGTCCAGCTGGGTGCTCGTGGGTGTGCAGCCCTGCCCTCCCGGCTGTGTGTGTCCACAGTGGTGTGGTTGCGGCTGTAAGTGAGGGTGTCTAACCGCACTGTTGTGCTGAAGGCATGCCTGTGGGCCCTGTCCTGTTGGGGGTGTTCTTCAGGGCCTGCTGGCTTTTGTGTGGCCTGGTGCCCTGTGGGGCCAGTGTCCCCTGGAGGGTGGACATCTGAGCCCGGCCGTGTGTCTTGGGCCTCTGTGTGGGGCCTGGATTGAAGGACCTGGGAGCCCACATTCAGACAGGGATTACGGACAGCTGAGGGATGGGATGGAGTCAGGACACTTGCGATACCACCGAATGGGGATAGAAAAATTCTGACAATACAAAAGGAAGGGAAATCCCTTAAGTGGGCTTGGGGTCTGACTGCGGGGCACCCTAGGAAGTCACCAAACAGGGCTGGCCCCTCGCCCCACCCAGGCTCCCAGGAAGACTCGCGGTCTTCCTCCTCCAGAGCGCAGGGGCAGTGGTCCACGTGGCCCTCACTAGCGAGGAAGCAGGCCACTGGGCTGCCGGTCAGCGCCGAGACCGGACGCCCGGCCCGGCTATGAATGGTTTCTTTCCTTCTCTGTTCTGCCTCCCTCTTGTCTTCAGGGCCCAAGCATGTGCGTTGTACCTGACAGGCCCCAAAGAGCCAAGGCCCCCAGCAGAGACTGTGTGGGCCCCACAAGGGAAATAGAAGGTTCTAGAAGGAGTGTGGCCTCCCCGAAGGCTATGGTGGCCACTCTAGGCCACGGCCCAGGCCGCCCTTGTCGCTCCTTCCTTGCCCCTCTCCTCTCTCCTTCCCCCTTCCCGTACATTCCCCAGCCTGCACCTGGTGACACGGTTGGCCCTTCTCCAGGGGTGAGGGGAGCCAGCAGGGCCCCTTCCTGGAAGCCCACCTGCAGGCTGGCCTGCTGGGAAGGGGCCTGCTCCTCAGCAGCCCCCGCCCGCTGGAGCCGTTTCCTGGAAGCGGTCACTGTGGATATTCTGTTCCTTGTCAGCACCGTGCTCGCAGAAAGCAGACACTGAGCCCTTGTCCTCCGGGAGCCCGCGCTCCATCACCGAACACCTGGCCGGACACAGGCGGGCAGCCGGGTCCGCGGGGAGTGGCGCAGGCCTGTGGCTGGACCAGTAAACAAACAGGGGCGCCAAGCACAGGGGCCCCTCGTCCCCGCGGCTGCTCCACGCCTCTGTACGATAGATAGCACGCACCAAGGCCCAGTGGGGGCCCATCCTGCAGGGCTGGGAGGCAGCTGTAGGTACAGAGCTGAGAAGGGAACAGGGGGGCCCATGCAGACCCCCGGGCCGTGGGGGAGGCAGGCTGTGGGCTCCCAGGCTTTACAGAAACCACCCATCTGCCTGGATGGAAGGCTGGGTGGGAGAGCCCAGGGAGTGGGGGCCAGATGAGCATGAGCGGGAAGTCAGGCACAGAAGCTGGACAAAAGCGTTTACCCGGAGCCAGCTAGGCAGAGAAGCCCCCCAACGGTTTTGAAGGGTGGGGTGGGGGTAATCTGATGGCTGGTATGCAGCCCAGAGGCTGGGGAGGGGGAAGGAGAGGGCGCTGAGACGGGAAGACCGTCCCCCGCGCTCAGGCATTCAAGCAAGGAATGGAAGGAGGGAGGACAGACGGCTGGGATGCCTGGAACAGCACGGCCACCAGCACTGACAGAGACCTCACTCTGAGGGCACAGAGCTGTCTGGGGTGGTCCCTGGCCCAGGCGAGCTGTTCAGTGGGGGGTGTCTGGCAGGATGCGGGCTGCTGGGAGCCGAGCTGAGAAGGGAACAGGGTGCAGGAGGCACAGATCGGGGAGCACAGCTCATGCAGAGACAGCCCAGGGCGTGGCCTTGGGGAGCCATGATTGCCAGGGGGCCATGGAAGATGGAGGAGTGGCCAGTGGGGTTAAGGGGTGGTGGGGGACAGGGCTT